TCTGTCTCAAATAAATAAGCAAGCTGCCCTTGGTGGCAGGTGCCTATAGTCCTAGCTACTTGGGAGGCTGAGGTGGGAGTATCACTTGAGCCCAGGGTGTCGAGGCTGCAGTGAGCCACGATTGTGCCACTGAACTCCATCCTGGGTGACAGAGTGAGACTCTATCTCAAAAGAAAAAAGACTTATGGGCAGATGTGATAGTGTGTGAGTCCGGAATTGAGACCCTACGAGGCCTGACGTGATTCCACTTGTCCTCAGACACCTGCAGGAGGAAAGCATGCCCTGGCTAGCTGCTGTCCCAGCAGGATGCAAGAACCCATGGAGCAGGGCCTCTGGGCCACTCTGCATCCTTGTCCCGGGAAGTAGAGCAGCGTAGCCGAGGCCAGCCTAGAGCAGGCGCCCCCTCTGCTGACTCGCAGACGTGAAAAACAAATGCTCACTGCTGTATGCCATTGAGACTTGGGGGTGTTTGTTGCACAGCAGCGGCTGACTAATACACACGAATGTACTCACTCTCCCCACTCCCCAGACAGCTGGGGTATGGCTGGACCACTGGCATGTTTCCATGCAGGCACAAAGCCTGCTACAGAGAAACAGCATCAGGGCAGGGCCATCTGTTTTCCAGGGGCAGCTGTGGCTGAGTGCCCAGGGCAGATGGCAGTGCCAATGAAGGCGTCTGGATTCTGCCGTGGTGGCAGCTTCGTCCTCTGGCATAATTTCAGCTGAAGGCCTAGCTGTCTCACCCTTTGGATTCCACTGTTTTCTTTTTTTTTTTTTATTGAGACATGGTCTTACTGTGTTACCCAGGCTGCAGTGCAGTGGCACAATCACAGCTCACTGCAGCCTTGACCTATGTGGCTCAAGCCATCCTCACCTCACCTTCCCGTGCAGCTGGGACTACAGGTGCACACCACCACGCCAGGCTGATTTTTCAATTCTTTTGTAGAGACAGGGTTTTGGTGTGTTGCTGGTCTCCAACTCATGGGCTCAAGAGATCCACCTGCCTCAGCCTCCCAGAGTGCTGGGAATACAGTCTCTAAACAAAAAAAAAGAGAAAGAGGCATAGTTGTGCCCCACCCACCCAACCCTCCCCCCACCAGAAATCATGGGCCAACAGTCATGACATCCCAGCACCTCTGACCTCCAGCCTTCTTGTTATGAGAAATAATGTCTGCACTGCCAAAGACACTAATGGCCAGCTATGCTTGTCACCAAGCAGTTCCGAAGTTATAATGTAAATGTGACAGTTGCTGGGGTTTTCCCATCTTACGTAAGTCAGGCCTTTTACTGGCAAGCAACAGAAACTGACTCTAGACTATCTACCTATCTATTTATTTTTGAGATGGAGTCTTGCTCTGTTGCCCAGGCTGGAGTGCAGTGGTGCAATCTCAGCTCGCTGCAAACTCCACCTCCCAGGTTCAAGTGAGTCTCCTGCCTCAGCCTTCTTAGTAGCTGGGATTAAAGTCACTCACCACCACACCCAGCTAATTTTTGTATTTTTAGTAGAGACGGGGTTTCACCCTGTTGGCCAGGCTGGTCTCGAACTCCTGACCTCAGGTGATCTGCCAGCCACAGCCTCCCAAAGTGCTGGGGTTACGGGCGTGAGCTGCTGTGTGCAGCCTGGATGATTCAAATAGCCGATGTGTATACTGCAAAACTGGTTGCTTGGCCAGGCGGTGGCTCACACCTATAATCCTAGCACTTTGGGAGGCCAAGGCAGGCGTATTGTTTGAGCTCAGGAGTTCAAAACCAGCCTGGACAAAATAGTGAGACTCTGTCTCTATTTTAAAAAATGTAAAAGGCTGGGCATGGTGAACAGCTTGGCCAACATGGCAAAACCTCATCTGTACCAAAAATACAAAAATTAGGGCATGGTGGCATGCACCTGTGATCCCAGCTACTGGGGAGGCTGAGGCAGGAGAATCATTTGAACCTGGGAGGCAGAGGCTGTAGTGAACTGACATGGCGCCACTGCACTGCAGCCTGGGTGACAGAGTGAGACTCCATCTCAAAAAAAAAAAAAAACCCAAAACATTGTTTGGTAGCTCACAGAAGTGATGAGAAGGCTAGAAAACCAGGCTCAGAAAAACAGTGGTGCGCTCAAAAAAAGAGTGCAGTGGTGCAGCCACAGCTCCGTGCACCCTAGAGCTCCTGGGCTCAGGCGGTTTTCCCACCTCAGCCTCCCCCAGTAGCTGGGACTACAGGCATGTGTGCTACAAGGGCCAGCATTTTTTTTTTTCTTTTTTAGAGATGGTCTCACTGTATCCCTAGGGCTGGTCTTGAACTCCTGGACTCAAGTGATGGCCCTGCCTCAGCCTCCCAAAGTTCTGGGATTACATGCATGAGCCACCGCACCCAGCCTGTGAGTGTGCTCTCTTAACTTGCTCCTCCTGGCCACAAGATGGCTGCGGAAGCCCCTGGCATTGTGTTCTCATAAGCAGTGAGGGAGGAAAGGGGGCAACAAGGCCTCTCCCTTGTCCAGAAACACCCGACCCCTTCAAGCTTGCTGGCCAGAGCTGGGAAACATGCCCAGATTGCAAACAACCCTGGCAAAAGGCATTGCCAAGAACGGCTCAGCTGAATCTTAACCCCGGAGGCTGGGCACGTTGCTGCTGGCACCAAATCAGGGCTCTGCTGGTGAGGACGCAGGAATGGCTGCCCGGCTGGCCACCAGAATGAGAGTGACAGGAAGACGAGGATGCAGCAGGGGCCTTGCTGAGGGTGAAGCACAGCTTCGTGCCCTCCTTCCCCGAGGTTTGCACACAGAAGGTGCCCACAGGCACTAGTGTGAAGAAGGCTGCCCTCACCTTCCCACCCCAGAACCTCTCCTTTGTGCAACAAACATTTGAGCTGTGCCCTGTCTGTGCCATGCTCTGTGTTAGGCGCTGGGCCACTGGGATCCAGGGCCAGACGCCCCCAAGGAAGAGCAGAGCCTCGAGGCTGCACCGTGCAAAGCGAATCTCCAGGGCCCGTGAGAACGGACGAGCTGGAGCTGCTTCCTCGGAGATGGAGCCAGGGGCGAGTTTCCAAGCTGGCCAGGTCCGGGGCGGATTCCCACCTCATACAGCTCCCCAGAGGCCCCCTTGGCCCTCGCTTGCTGAAAGGCCCCAGAAGTCACACTTGGCCTCCCTCTTGCGGGCCTGCATCCGACCATCCCGAGAGACAGCGTTTTCCCACAGCCCGAGCCCAGGTGCGAGGGAGGCTCCTGCGGCCAGCGTCCAGGCCTCAGCGAGGAGGCAGGGCGTCTGGAAGCAGACAGGCTTCCCCCAGGCTCGGGGCGTTGCCGGGCTCCAGACCCCTCTGGGCCACCAGGCAGAGTTAGCTACGCTGGTCCAGGGGTGCGTGCACAGATGTGTGTGCGGGCATATGTGCGAGCTTGCATCTCACCATGTGCGGGCAAGCATGTGAACACGTTGCAACGTGTGAGCACGGGCGAGCGCGGGTGTGCAGGCATGCAGCACGGTTGTGTGAACGTGTGCGTTGCGGCATGAGTGTGCAGGTGTGCCTGAGCGTGTGCGAGTGTGCGCAGGCATGCAGCACGGTTGTGTGAACGTGTGCGTTGTGGCATGAGTGTGCAGGTGTGCCTGAGCGTGTGCGAGTGTGCGCAGGCATGCAGCACGGTTGTGTGAACGTGTGCGTTGCGGCATGAGTGTGCAGGTGTGCCTGAGCGTGTGCGAGTGTGCGCAGGCATGCAGCACGGTTGTGTGAACGTGTGCGTTGCGGCATGAGTGTGCAGGTGTGCCTGAGCGTGTGCGAGTGTGCGCAGGCGTGTTCTTTCTCTGAAGGACACAAACGTTCACAAAGTGAAGATTCAAGCCAGTTTCTGCTAAATTAAAAACAGCTTTTTCGTGTTTAAAGTTTACAATACGAAAAATAATTTTCCTTTCTTGGGGGGATGCGGGGGGGAGGCTGAGGGAGGGGCAGGGGGCCCCAAGAACATTCCATGAACCGGCCCAGACAGTTACGCACAATCGATCCGGTTAGATACGGCAGCACCCCCACCCTGGGCCGGCGCCCCTGCCAGCTCGTTGGGGACAAGATGTTCTGAGGTGTGAGCTGATCCAGGGGACTTGCAGCTGGCAAAGCTTCTCACTGCCCCCCTGAAGGGGCTGTGCCTCCAGTGGGGAAGGGTTCTCTGGGGGAGTTCAGGTCGGGGGCAGGGGCTGGAATGTTCTGGTAAGTCCCCGAGGAGCACGGCTTTCCTTTCGATGTCCCTGACGGTGTGGGCTTCTTTTAGGTTCCCAACCACGTTCCTAATTTAGAACTGCCCACCCCTGCAGCCCCTGGTGTTACCCTAGCCCCGATGGCCGCCACACAGGAGTGCCAGGCATGCAGGCACAGCAACTTATGCAGATCTACGCATGTATGAATCCCAGGGCCCCCCTCTGGGAACATCAGGCTTTCTCCAATAACCTGCAACTGGTAAGTGGCCCACTCTGGGCAGCCTGGTTCACGGTTTGGCCAGCCACGATGAGAGTAGGGGGCTGAAACCTCTTCCAAAGTGCCAAGGTGGGCCAGGCACGGTGGCTCACGCCTGTAACTCCAGCACTTTGGGAAACCGAGGCAGGCAGATCACTTGAGGTCAAGAGTTCAAGACCAGCCTGGCCAAGATGGTGAAACCCCGTCTCTACTAAAAATACAAAAATTCGCTGGGTGTGGTGGTGGGCATCTGTAATACTGGCTACTTGGTAGGCTGAGGCAAGTGAATCACTTGAACCTGGGAGGTGGAGGTTGCAGTGAGCCACAATCAAGCCACTGCATTCCAGCCTGGGCAACAGAGCAAGACTCCATCTCAAAAAAAAAAAAAGTGCCAGGGTGAAAGTCCTGGCCACACTTCCTGCTGCTCCTGTGCCCCTGAGCCAAAGCCCAGCCCCCTGCCAGCTCCTCTGCACGGCTGGAAAAGGCTGAGGTGGAGGAGAGAAGCCCCCAGACACACGGAGGACACACAAGGAATCTGTGACCAATCAGCCCCAGCCGCACAAGCTCAGTGCTGGGCCTGCTCCATCTCTTCACCATAACATTTTTATTAAATAAAGGGAAATATTAGGAGACGACGTCTGCTAAGATAGGAGGTTAATTCTTTACACGGTGAGTGGGTCACAGCGACAAGACATCAATCGTCTGTGAGCAGCGAGAGAGACACTTTAAGTTGCCCCAAGAGTACAAATCCCATCTATGAGACAGCGGGGCCGGCTTCTTCAAATAAAAAGTAAAACAAATTAAAAAGAAGAGCTTTAGAGGTTCAGACATTAAAACAAATGTGGCCAGAGATGCCGCAGAGCCCTAGAGAAAGGAAAGGCCTCAGTGCTGGCTCGGTAGCAATGTCAACCTGGAAACAGGGCAGGCCAGGGAGTGGCAGGGTGCAGAGTGGGGAAAAGAGGAGGAAGGAGAATAAAGACCGCCCAGCTGACCTGCAGGAGGCGACACTGTGGAATTCTGAAGTCAGTGTCCCCCTCCAGCTGCAGGAAGGGGACTGCTCGGCCAACAGGGCAAATGTAGAGGGCCGGGACGTCTCCGCCAGTGAAGGCCCCACAAGATGCTCAGTGCCAAATGAAGGCCCAAGGTCCTCAAGGACCATTCCTAGGACTGACATGGTTTTTCCTCCTTAAGGCAGATGATGACAGGAACAGAGGCATGACCAGAGCCTCCCCTCAGCAGCTCGGGATGGGGGAAGGAGGGCACCCCAGGAGAGACAGGCACGTGCACTGGTCCTCCACCCACCCCAAACCAAGGGCTTCCAAGCCGCCTCTCACTGCTTCTGAGGTCTGTGTGCTGTGGAGGTTTTGGGCGAGTTTATTTTAAAAGCATGTGCGCGGGAGACTTGGAAGGAGGGTGAGTTGAACCACCAACTTTGGGTTCAGTGGTGATGAGCTCACACCTGAATGCCTGAAACCGCGGGGCTGGGAGGGGGTGAGGGGCGAGGCGGAGCCGCACAGGGACCCCCTGGAGACCTGGGATTCCACCCTCCAGTCTGCAGGCGAGGAAGCTGCCCCAGGGACAAGTTTGCTGCCACAACTGGCTCCTTGGCCGCTTTGTGGGCAGGCTCGCTCAAATGGACTTGGAGCCAGGATCTGCTTTGGGAAGGACGGAGGGAGGGAGGCCACCCTGGAAGGGGCACTTATCCACACGGCAGGCCTTTCGAGGGCAGCCCGGGCAAAGAGGGGCACTGGGGTTCTCAGGCAGACGTGCACTCGCCAAGCCAGGCTTGGAGACAGCATGCAGTCAGGCCAGGGTCCCGGGGATCTGGGGGGCTACCTCCTGGTCCCGGCCCGGGGCAGCAGGACGGGGGCGCAGGCGATGCCCGCGAAGGACTCCGGAAAGTGCAGGTCCCGCTCCCACTCATCGGTGTCCATGTTGTACACCTGCACGATGCCGGTGACGTTGTTGAGCCGCCAGTTGTAGCCCCCAACGATGTAGATCTTCCTCTCCAGCAGGCAGCAGCCCGCCTCTGACTGGCCGGCTCGCATGGGGCTCACGCTGGTCCACTGATCCGTCTCGGGCACGTAGTACTCCACAGTCAGCACGTCGAAGCAGCGGTCCACGTGGTCCATGCGGCCCCCAAGGGCATAGATGCGGCCGCCAGCGCCCACCATGGCATGCAGCACACGGGGCTCGCTCATGGGCGCCTTGAACTCCCACTGGTCGGCCACAGGGTCGTAACAGTGCAGCGCCTTCTTGTCCTCCACTGAGATGCCGTAGCCGCCCGAGATGTACAGGCGGCCCCCGGAGGCGGCCCCAGCATGGCCCCAGGTGCGGCGCTTGAGCGAGCAGGCGTAGCCCCACTCGTTGCGCCGGGGACAGTACCGCTCCACGGAGGCCAGGCTGCCGGCCCGGTTGCGGCCACCCGTGGCATACACCATGCCGCACAGCACGTTCAGCTGGAACTGGATGCGGCTCTCCTGCATGGCCTGCAGGCGCAGCCAGCGGTTCAGGTGCGGGTCGTATCGGTAGCAGGCGTCCACCGCGCCCTCACCACTGCGGTACTGCAGGTGCTGGCCTCCGGCCATGTACACGAAGTTGTCCAGCACTGCCACGCACGTGTGGCTGCAGCCGACCTCCATCTCTGTGAGCTCGCGGAAGTGGCGGGCGCCTGGCTCTGGCAGCTGGTATACCTTGCTGCTGACCGAGCGGTCGCTGTCGGTGTAGGGCGTGCCACCAAAGGCCACCAGCGAGGGCACGTCCGAGCGCACGGCGGTGCGCGGTGACTGCATCTCGTGCTGCCGGAAGGGCAGCACCTGGTAGTTGAAGGCCTCCAGCAGGTACTGGCGGCACAGCACATCCTCCACCATGATGTCCAACGTCTGCACGCTGTCCACCAGCTCGGAGGACTGCATGAGCGGGAAGCGGATGTGGCAGAGCACGTGGCTGGCGCGCGGCCGCCGGGCCGGGTCGTGCTGCAGCCAGCGGACCGCAGCTCGGAACAGGTCAATCTCAGTGCAGCTCTGCAGCCGGTTGCTCTGCAGGAAGAAGACCAGGCGCTCCAGCGGCAGGCGCAGGAAGTCCTCCTCCTCGGCGATCTGCAGGAAGTGCTGGAAGGTGAAGGCGTCCACTGACTCCCGCAGCGAGGCCAGGCTGAAGGTGGTGGCCATCTGGCCGATGTTGAGGCAGGTCTCCACACTCATGGCTGCCTTTAGGAATTCCTCGCACAGCTCCACCACGGGCAGCATCTGCAGGAACACAGCAGCACCCAGCACATCCTGCACGCAGTCCAGGTCCAGGGTCACCTCAGCGCTGTAGGCAAAGTCGATGATGTGCCGCAGGCCGCGGGCCGACACGCCCTTCAGCTCGATGATGTCCTGGCTCGCCTCCCGCATGCCACCGGTGAACATGGCCCTAAAAGGTGGAAACACACCTTGTGGCTTGCAGTGGCCGAGAGGCGTTGTGATCAGCCGGGAATGATAACAGCCTCGGGAACAGTGGAACGGGGACACAGAACGCAGGGCACAGCCAGCAAGAGGAAAGCAGGCCAGAGGCTCATTAAAAACATGCAAAGGTGGGGTTCGGTAGCTCACACCAGTAATCCCAGCAATTTGGGAAGCCCAGGCAGGTGAATCACTTGAGGTCAGGAGTTTGAGACCAGTCTGGCCAACATGGTGAAACCCCATCTCTACTAAAAATACAAATTAGCCAGGTGTGGTGGTGCATGCCTGTAATTGCAGCTACTCGGGAGGCTGAGGCAGGAGAATTGCTTGAACTGGGGAGGTGGAGGTTGCAGTGAGCCAAGATCTTGCCACTGCACTCCAGCCTGGGCAACAAGAGCAAGACTATCTAAAAAAAAAACAAAACAGGAGGCTGAGGCAGGAGAATTGCCTGAACCCAGGAGGCAGAGGTTGCGGTGAGCCGAGATCGTGCCATTGCACTCCAGCCTGAGTAACAAGAGCGAAACTCCATCTCAAAAAAAAAAAAAAAATTTTTTTCAAAAAAAGATTTTGAATCCACCCAAGCCATGCATCTGCCTATAAACAGCAGCTCCCTGCTTGGCCCCTTCATGACTAGATTGCATCAGAGCTGGAGGAGTGGAGGCTGGGTCAGCCTCGCCCACCACGTGCCTGGTGGTGGGGCGGTTAAAGGGGCCAGGTATGGCAGTGCAGGATGAAAACACACCCTGTGGCTCTGGGGACAGATCTGCAGCCCCACCTGACACCTGAGCTCAGGAGCTGCGGGACCAGCGCTCTAGAGGTGCCATGCACCACGGTTCCGCCCTCGCCCGCTTGCTGACCTAAGCAGGCAGGTCTGACGTACCCAGCCTGAGTCTCAACAACTAACGTGTGAAGAGGGCAAGGTAACGAGGGTCCCCAGGAGGGGACCCCCACCAGGAGGCTGTGCTGGAGTGACTGCTGTCTCCAGAGACTAAGGTGGTCGGGGAAGTGCCTCCCACCCAACAGCTATGTCCTCACCCTCCAGTGATACCCCAGCTCCACCCTTGTACTGCTCTGCTCTGCTCTGGGAAGCAGAACTAACATGAGTGGGGAGGGGACACAGGACCTCGTGAGGGAGGGCAGTGAGGAGGCACAGGCCTATAGGTCGAAGTTCCCCTACCGCTTTTAGGATGCTCCCCAGAAGAGAGGAGAGCACCCCAGCTCCAGGGGCATGGGTGGTTCCTCCCAGGAGGTGCGCTGGCATGGCACAATAACTCTTATTCCCACCTGTGCACCTCACCTGATGGCCACCTGAGGAGGAGGGAACGTCCCTTGGGCATTTGCCCCACAGAGGTCCGTCCCCTGGTCTTGCACCTCACGTGGGCCAGGCTCCGGGCAACAGGGGCAAGGACAGCGGCCAGGGCGCTGCCTCGGAGCCGCCCACTGACATCTGCCCAGCGAGCCTCTCCTCAGTGTCTCGTCGCACTCCAGGAGCAGCACGATGCCAGCTCCCCAGACCCTGCCCTGCTTGTCCCCATGGGTCCCCGCCGGCCCTCGGGCATGATGCGATGAAGGCAGAGGCGGTCTCGGGCGACAGGAGGGAGCTTTGCCTTTTAAGGCCTTGCCGGCTGCTATGCCAGCGCAGGGGAGCCTTTAAAGGGCATTGCTGGCTGGGCTGGCCCACCCGTCCCCAAATACAGAATAAAAATAGAAGCGGCGCCCCAGTTGGCTCGCCTGCTGCGGCCCCCACAACAGCCTTGTTGAGCCCACGGGGCAGGCGGCCCGGGCCTCCGGGAAGGCGCAGGCGAGGTGCACACCTGGGCTGGGGCCTGGGAACTGCCCCAGGGTGGCCCAGCTCTCTCTGGTGGGGTCACTGCCTGGCAGGAAAGAGGCTCGTCTGCTGGTCACCCAGGGAGGAAGACCACCCAGCCCTGCAACAGCCCCCTGTTGCTGGCAAGGAGAACGCACCCCTACCCCACAGCCCTGTTCTGTGGTGCTCTCGCTTCTGGCCCAGCCGTGGCACAGGGACAGACAGACAGACCCATGTGCCCACCATGGACTTCTCTGTCACATGGTGGAAGTGCCCACAGCTCAGGGTGACAGCGAGAACTCATGTGGGCCTCAGACAGAGCTCAGGACACAGTGTTGGCAGACACGGGGTCCCTGTGGCCTTCGATGCCCCTCCAGTCCCCCAGCTGTCCCACTCCAGGTGTCCTGAGGGGATGCCCTAATGGCAGGGGCTGATGCCGGTTTCACTCTTTCATCCCTGCTGGATCCCAAGGCCTAGAATACTGCCTGGCATACAGCAGGTGTCAAGTAAAGACAGATCAAAAGCCTGGCCAGACCCTGCCAGTCCACAGGGCAGAAGTGACTATCCCCCCAGGCATGTCTGCCCAAAGAGAGTAAGATGCAAACCGGGGAAAATCTGCAGGTTTACTGGACATTAACCTCTCTAAAATCAGAAGAGGCCGAGCGCGGTGGCTCACACCTGTAATCCCAGCACTTTGGGAGGCCGAGGCGGGTGGATCACGAGGTCAGGAGTTCGAGACCAGCCTGGCCAACGTGGTGAATCCCATCTGTACTAATAATACAAAAAATTAGCTGGGTGTGGTGGCGGGTGCCTGTGTTCCCAGGTACTCAGGAGGCTGAGGCAGAGAATCACTTGAACCTGGGAGGCGGAGGTTGCAGTGAGCCGAGATCTCGCCACTGCACTCCATCCTGAGCAATAGAGTGAGACTCCATCTCAAAAAAAAATAAACATTTGAGAGCCGACACCAGCCATTCTCCCTTGAAGCTGTCCCTGGACGGTGCTGAGATAGGCCCCCTTTAGAAGGTGGATTCCGTCTTCCCTGTCCCCACAGGCGGCCTCCCCTCCCAGCTCCCCGTGCCTAGCGCTTACCTGAAGTAGTCGCTGCAGGCGGCCAGGACGACCTTGTGTGCAGGAAAGGCCTCTCTGTTGATGGTCAGCACGACATCAAGGAGCTGGCCCTGGGCGCGGAGGGTGGCCAGGCCCTGCAGGAGGCTGGTGCTGTGGCCGGCCGCCGAGAAAGTGCACTTGAGGGCCCCGTTCTTGTCGGCCGTGCTGCAGGGAGAGCAGAGGAGGGGACACGGCCCATTGGCCTTGAGGTTCACACACACACTACGACCTCGAACACAACACTTGGTACAAGAACCAGACACAAAAGGCCGTGTGGTGTATGACTGCTGACGTGAAATGCCCGAAACAGGCGAATCCACAGACAGGAAGCAGATGGGTGCCGCCAAGAGCTGGGGGAGGGGAGGGGAGTGGCTGCTGGTGGGGTGGGGTCTCCCTGAAACGCCCAGAACAGGCGAATCCACAGACAAGAAGCAGATGGGTGCCACCAAGAGCTGGGGGAGGGGAGGGGAGTGGCTGCTGGTGGGGTGGGGTCTCCTTTTGGAGGGATAAGAATGTTCTGGAACTAGATAGAGGTGGCGTTTGCACACCACTGTGAATCTACTAAATGCCACTCAATTGTCCACTTCAAGACAGTCTGATGTCATGTGAATTTCACTCAAATAAAAAACCGAAGAACATGCAGGAGCCTTCTTGAGTCCCACGCAAGCCCTGCCACAGCCCCTGCACCACAGTGTATATGAGCCCCCACCGCCCCTATTACCCGCCCCGCCCCTCTTCTCCAGCCCCCCCCCACTCTGCTGTTTCATTTGGGAAACTGATGAATGGGTAGCTTAGGAGCCCGTGATATACCACTTCTTCCTCAGAGCACAAACAGGGCGGACCCTGTTGCCACCTCCAGGGTCAGTCCCCTCCAGGACCTCCATCCCCACCCCCACCAGGCTGAGGCCACCCTCCCCAGCACCCTGCTCTGTCCTCATGGCCTCTGCCCTCTGGAATTTGCTCTCCCATTCTGGGACCCACGCCTGTCCATCAGTGAGGGACAGGAATGCGGGTACTGATCCTTCCAAGAAAGCGGGAGGAGATGGAAGGCTCCTCGGCCCCAATGCCGGCCAGCCCCAAAACCACCATGGACATTAAAGAGCCGACATCAAACACAGGGCGCACAGTGGGCACTCACTCAGCACTGCAGCTTCACCAGAGGCCTTGACCTCCCACAGGCTGCCCTTCCAGAGACCCTTGGGAAAGGGTGGGTGACCAAGGCAAACTGCTGGGCAGAGGGGCTGCAGGACCAGGCACTGACCACAGCCCTGCAAGGCACCACAGGCACAGCAAGTTGCCCAAGCCCCAGCCCTGCCTTCAAGGTGCTCCTCGTCCTGGAGGATGAGGACACAGCGTGGAGGACCCGGTGAGGGCCTGTGCTCAGTGGAAAGCCTTTAAGTCCCTGGAGAGGCAGGACACGGGCTACTCGGAGCCTAATACCACAGTCATCTGGGCTGGCCAGCCATGCTGCCAGGGCTGCTGAAGGCCCGACCTGGTGTTTACCTGGGAGGGCGGGGATGCAGCCTTCTGAAAGCTGAGGAGGGGAAGGAAGGAAAGCGGTCCAGGTGCACCCTGAGACTCTGGCTTATCCCCATGGCCTTTCCCCTGCCAGGTGGAGGGGACGCCCACCTCCACTCCTCCCTTCTTCCCTTCCCCACACATCCACCCCAGTTGCACTTGCCCAGGCTGCTGCTGTGAGCCAAGTCTGGGCTCTTTTTTTCCCCCAAGACCCACGACAGATCCACAGTTCCAAGGCTCGTGAGGAACATGTCACAGGCACACTGGCTGCTCCCTCTCCAGCTCCCCACAGGGTCCGGCACCTGCCCAGACATCTCCAGGGGCAGTGCCTCGTTGCTTCCCATGAATGCCACGCCCTCTCACCGACACCCAGGCTGCCTGGGGCCAAAGCCACATCCTGCATGTGTCTCTGAGGGCCTTTGGGGGGTCCACATCTCTCCTTGTCCCCAGCTTGCCTCCCTGCCTTTGCCAACTCCTCCTCCCTCCCGATGTGTGCAGGGACACAGTGTGAACTTGACAAAGTAGGTCCTGTCCTCATGGGCACTCAGTCCAGGAAATAAGGACCAAAAGGGGTCAGATCACCTAGAATCAGCTTTGTGTTGCAGCTGTAAAAGGGTTGGGTGCCATTGGGCTCCAGGTGACCCCTGCCAGCCTTTCTGTGGACACTTTGTGTCCCAGAAGTATGTGTGAGCCTTGCCAGCCTTTGCCATTTTTTTGGTCTAGTTTTTCCTTCGAAGTTCAAGGAGATTTGTAGGAAGGAATGGGAGGACTTCTTTGCGTCCTCTAAAGCCCTTGGGGGCAGGTGTGCATGTGTACATTTTCACCAGAAGAAACACATTGAACTGGGGTAATTTCATCATGGGACCACTCAGTCCTTAGAAGTGGATTTATCATGTACCTTAACATATAAAGAGCATCAAGAAATCAATACAAATTAGCCAGGCATGCTGCCGTGCACCTGTGGTCCCAGCTACTTGGGAGGCTGAGGTGGGAGGATCATTTGAACTCAGGAGGTGGAGGCTGCAGTGAGCTGTGTTTATGCCACTGCACTCCAGCCTGAGCGACAGAATGAGGTCGAAAGATGCATGAATAATGTGAGCTGATGGTTCCATGGAAAGCAAACAGACCTGGCTGGAAGGACCTAAGAGTCGGCCTCGCTCGGGGGGCTTATGAAGCAAGGTGACCCCCAGGAAGGCAGCTGGGTAGACCCAGCAATCCGCTAAAGGCTCATGTCCTTTACCCAACAACTCTATTTCTGAAGCATACCCAAATACTGTCTCTAGGGGCCACGGACGAGAAACAAGCTAACCATCCTTAGGGGAGGTACGTGGAACCACAGCACCTTCCAAGAGAGGGCTGCCCTACAGCTGGGTGAGAAGGCTGATCCTGACGCATCCCGGCGAAGACACTGCATCTAGGGGATGGCATTACGGCTGCAGGAGGAAGGAGGAGCAGAGAGCACACACAGTGGGATGCTCTTTGCACTCAACGTGTCGTCTGCCCATGCGTGCACAGAAGGTATCTGCAGAACTGAGAAGCTGGACAGAGAGGACCTCCCTCTTGGGAGGAGAGGGGCCCCTGTCCCACCCTCTGCTGTTCTGATGACTGAGGAACAGGAAACCAGGGAGGTGACCAGGGTTCCAAGCATGAGATCTCTGGGTTCCCCAGCAGGTGGAGGGTGCCCGGAACCCAGAGGCAGGATCAGTCCAGCTGGCCGGCAGGGCATCCCAGAGCAGGCATCAGGGGCCAGTAGCCTGGGCCAAGACAGCTCTGCTTAGCTGGGAACTCAGCAGTCACTCAACCACCAGGCCTCATCTACAAAGCAGGAGCAAATGACTGCCCAGCTCCCCCAGCCCCAGGGCCACTGGAGCATGAGAAGAGCAAATGAGCAAACGCAGAGCCCTGGGACCCAGGCTGCCACTAGCATGTGATGATCACACACTTGGAGAATTCCGATGTTCCCATCTGGAAGTTAGGACACCCCAGGCCCAGAATGCTGGGTGAGGCTCATCTACTGCTGGTCACAGGGCGCAGGGCCCATGTTGGACCCATGAGCGGGGAAGCAGCTTGTCCTGCCCGGGCCTCCTCCTGGTGTCCCGGTGATGTCTGATGTGCTCCACACAGCTGTTCCCTTCCTCTCGTCTTAGGGATGGGACAACTGTCCCTGCAGCCCCTGCTGTCACCCTCACCCGCTGTACTGCCGATCCTGAGAAGCCAAACCCATCCTGCTGCAGCCCTTCCCGGGGAACTTAGGGAGGGAGGAGGCCAGCAGGGGCTGCAGTCCCCCAGCCTGGATGGAGAAGTGAGATGCAGCCTGGGCGGAGGTGGGCAGGCAGAGGAGGAGGGAGGGCCGGGGCCAGGACCGATGACTAAGGTCCTCTCCAGCCGGCCACGGGGAGGAGGGGAAGGACCCATTACTCAGGCCGGCCCAGACAGGGGGCGGCCGGCGCGGCGGGGCCACAGGCCCCAGGAAGGCGGTGGCCCTGAGCCTGTCCGAGTCTACAGACGGCCACTCAAGTCACGGTCACCCGCACGTGAGTCATCGGAGCCAATGCGTCAGCAGCCCCGGCCAGGGCCGCCTCGAGAGGCCATCGCCGCCTGCCCCGGCTGCACCCTCTGCCGGAATCTGGCCTCTGAGTGGCCACACGCCCCCGCTGCGGGCCTGGCCCAGGATAGGGGCAATTCTGACACCCCTTTGCTGCTGTATCCCCCCAGCAATGACATCGGGCATCCTAGCCAGGCCCAGGTCATGCTGGACCCGAGGACATGCCCAGGTCTGCGCTGGTGACACCGCCCCAGCTTCTCTCAGATGTCCCTGGGCAGGGACACACTGTGACTGGCATGTGGGGAGCTGGGGTGGGGGGAACTCCCCCAGGTGGACCACCTGTTATGAGATTCCCCCACATCTCCAAGGGTTGCCCCCAGGACCACCTGCTTGTTGCTGACACCCCTGTGTAGGTGCTGTCCCTCCACATTGTCCTTCATGGGGCCCTTGAACCCTCGCCTGAGAGTCTACTCTGGGGCAACCCATGAGGCAGGACAGCCTCATGGGGGAGGTAACAGGAAGCTCAGAGTCACAGGGGCTGCAGCCAGACACCTGAGTGATGGAGCCTCATGGGGGGATCAGGAGCAGGGGAGGTGGGGGCTGCCTCGGGAGCCAACAGTGAGGGGCACACACCTGTCAGGGCGGGAGCTTTCCTCTGGCTCCGGGCTGGCCTCATCCCCATGGTCGGCTTGCCAACCCACGAGGAGCGATCCAAAGGCCCAGAACGGCTCTTTTCATTGGAATGTCCAAAAAAGAAAAAAAAGGCAACAACAAGAAAGAATTTCATGGAAACATTTCTTTGGGGTTTTGTAAAACCCTTTCCCACCCCCGCACGGAGCCCTGTGCGCAGACCAGAGTGGAGTCTGCCGGCATTGCCCTCACAGACGACTCTGACGCGCAGGCCCTCACTTCCCCTCAAAGCGGAGAGCACTTCCACTTTCAAAGCCAATTTTGGTTTTATTGTCCATGTGGCTCGATGGAGCACAGCAGCGCAGCACAGCTGGTTGGCTCACACCCCGGCCGAAGCGATGCCGCCCCAGGGTCCTGGCGCATGGGTGGGGAAGAGGCTGTACTGCAGGAGCCGGCAGGGCCGGCGGAGAAGCCACTGCCCGCCCTCCAGCCCCTGTCCCAGCCAGTCCCAGGCCGGCAACTGGACCACAAGCATCCTGAGAGCTTTATCTGAGACCCAGAGAGAGAGGGGGCAGAGGCTTGGGGAGAGGGAGACAGAGGCCCAGCGAGAGGGGGGCAGAGGCTGAGAGAGAGACAGAGCATCCTGAAAGCTTTATCTGAGACCCAGAGAGAGGGGGCAGAGGCTCGGGGAGACAGACCTAGAGAGAGGGAGGTAGACCCAGAGGGGAGCCAGGACCAGACAGAGAAAACTGGACCCAGAGAGAAGAAGAAAGAGACCCAGAGAGAGAGGGATAGGGACCCAGAGATGGAGCACAGAGACCCAGAGACAGGGAGACAGAGACCCAGAGAAACAGAGGCCCAGGGAGAGGGAGAGGGGGAGACAGAGATCCAGAGACCCAGAGAGACGGGGAGACAGAGGCCCAGGGAATGAGGGTGACACAACCAGAGAGAGAGGGAGAGATACAGGGAGAGAGGAACAGAGAGCCGGAGAAAGGAGGGAAAGCAGAGGTGGAGGTGGGGTGGGGTCACAGCAACTCGGCGGTGTGGGGGTGGTGTGGGGCTCCGGCGCCAGAGCCGTGGGGACCCTGGTGTCCCACCGCTAACATCTCAGCCTCACTGCCACCACCCTGCTCTCCAACCACACTGACACCTTCTCTCATGACCCTTCCCACCCACTGTGACCTCACCAAGCAGGCACAGGTCTTCACCTGCAGCCCAGGCGGTCACGCGCCCAGTATCCCTCTCCAAGATGGGAACACTGTGGCCCAGCGCCCCTGCCCCACCCCCAGCAGCTGCAGTCCTCGCTGGCTCTTGAGCACGTGCCTTGAGGGTAAAAGGTGCAGAGAGGCAGGGTCCCACCCAGTCCACAGAAGCCGCTCCCCCAGCACTGTTGCCATGGTGACTACAGCATTTCACAGCACCAGGGACTGCTCCCAGCCCACAGGATGGGTTCTGAAACCTCATGCTGGCCCTCACATGCCCCGGCCCCCACACTCACGTCAGCAAGCTTTCCCGTGGGACAGCTCAGACACCCCTGAGGCCTGGCCACCCTGCTTCTCCCCCAGGCTGCAGAAGGCTACTTCCCAGGGTCCTCCCTCCTGAAAAGGGAAGGCCCCTTCCAAGGCACCTGCTGTTCTCTGCCTCCCTGGGCTCTGGTGGGAGTGCAGAAAAGATAATGGCTTCTGGATGGATAAATGGGAGAGCCCAGGAGCCGGCGCAGGGCCCTACCGCAATGTCCCACAGGCCAGGATGCCCAGCCACTGACAGATCCAGAGCCTGGGACAGAGGGACAGAGATGGGGAGACAAGAGACTCAGAGACAGAGAGGCAGGAGATAGACACAGACACAGAGACAGAGACATGAAGACAGGAAGACAGAGCTAGAAACAGAGGGACAGAGACCCAGAGATGGAGACAGAGACACAGAGACCCAGAGACAGAGACTCAGAGACAGGGAGACAGAGACCCAGAGATGGGGAGACAGAGACCCAGAGATGGGGAGACAGAGACCCAGAGACAGGAAGACAGAGACCCAGAGACAGAAGGAGACAGTGACCCGAAAACAGGGAGACAGAGAGCCAGAGACAGAGAGCCAGAGCCAGAGAGAGACAGAAACAGGAAAACACAGGCCCAGAGACAGAGGGAGACAGAGACAGGAAGACACAGACCTAGAGACAGAGGGAGACAGAGACAGGGAGACACAGACCCAGAGACAGAGGAACAGAGACCCAGAGTTAGGGAGACAGAGACTCACAGAGGGACAGAGACCCAGAGACAGAGGGACGGAGACCCAGAGACAGGGATAGAGACCCAGAGACAGAGGGAGACAGTGACCCGAAGACAGGGAGACAGAGAGCCAGAGCCAGAGACTCAGAGACTCAGAAACAGAGAGCCAGAGATAGAGGGAGACAGAAACAGGAAAACACAGGCCCAGAGACAGAGGGAGATAAAGACAGGGAGACACAGACTCAGAGACAGAGGAATAGAGACCCAGAGATAGGGAGACAAAAAACCCAGAGACAGAGGGACAGAGACCCAGAGCCAGGGAGACAGAGGGACAGAGACCCAGAGCCAGGGAGACAGAGAGCCAGAGCCAGAGGGACAGAGACCCAGAGACAGAGGGACAGAGACCCAGAGCCAGGGAGACAGAGAGTCAGAGCCAGAGGGACAGAGACCCAGAGACAGAGGGACAGAGACTCAGAGCCAGGGAGACAGAGACCCAGAGATAGAGGGACAGAGACTCAGAGCCAGGGAGACAGAGACCCAGAGACAGAGGGACAGAGAGCCAGAGCCAAAGGGACAGAGACCCAGAGACAGAGGGACAGAGAGCCAGAGCCAAGGAGACAGAGGGACGGAGACCCAGAGCCAGGGAGACAGAGGGACAGAGAGCCAGAGCCAGAGGGATAGAGACCCAGAGACAGAGGGACTGAGATCCAGAGCCAGGGAGACAGAGAGCCAGAGCCAGGGAGACAGAGAGCCAGAGCCAGGGAGACAGAGACCCAGAGACAGAGGGACAGAGACCCAGAGACAGAGGAACAGAGACCCAGAGCCAAGGAGACAGAGACCCAGAGACAGAGGGAAAGAGAACCAGAGTCAGGGAGACAGAGGGACAGAGACCCAGAGCCAGGGAGACAGAGGGATGGAGACCCAGAGACAGAGGGACAGAGACCCAGAGCCAAGGAGACAGAGACCCAGGGACAGAGGGACAGAGACCCAGAGTCAGGGAGACAGAAAGCCAGAGACAGAGGGACAGAGACCCAGAGCCAGGGAGACAGAGGGACAGAGACCCAGAGCCAAGGAGACAGAGACCCAGAGACAGAGGGGCAGAGACCCAGAGCCAGGGAGGCAGAGGGACAGAGACCCAGAGCCAGGGAGGCAGAGGGATGGAGACCCAGAGCCAGGGAGGCAGACTGCGGTGTGGGGCCACCAGGGTGCAGCTGTCTGTCTCCTGCTCGCCATGCTGGTTTCCTCCGACATCCTCATGAATCATTTCTAGCAGGACCCTCTCCTCCCCAATGTTGGGAAGGCAGGTGTGCTGGGCAGGCCAGGTGGTAACCTCGAAGCCTCCCTACCCAGCCACCCTCAAGTCACCTCCAAGAGCCCCGTGCTACTGAGGGAGACACTCACAGTGAGCTGGCACAACTCACACAGCGTCCTGCACGGATGCCCTCTGATCCCTGCAAAAAAGCCCTCAGCTTCCCCTTCCTCCCAGCCCCCTGATCCGGAGCCATTCCCTACCTGTTCTTGGCTTCGGCCTGTCTGTGCCTGCCTGCTGGCTGGGGACAGAATGACAGGAGACAGGGCATCTGGGAGTGCCTGGCAGGAGGTGTCTGTGCCACCAGACTGCACCTAGGGCTGGCACCCCCAGGGAGGCCAAGGCTCAGAGAGGGCAGCAGGCTGCCCGAGTCACACCAGGAGTTCAGGGAGGGCAGGCAGGCAGGCTCTGGAATCAAGGATCAATTAAAAAGGACCGCCACCAATGACCTCAAGGACACAGTGAAGTGGGAGGAGACACTGTCCTCTCAGGTTGTGCAGGTTGAGAGGTGAACCCCACAGAGCTGGGAGCAGAAGGCTGAGGCCCGCCCACCCCCACTCTACCAACAGCTCACCCACCAATCCCAGCATGAGGCCAGGATGAGCCACATGGCCTCCCCTGCCCTCAGCCTTGTTTAAAGCTTCCAGAAGACAGGCGCTAGAGGTGCAGTGGTTTGCAAGCTGTCATCTCAGGAGCATAGTGGTGGTCTAGATGAGGAAGGGGGCTGGAGGCATGGGTGGGCAGATGACGGATGCCTGTGGCCACCCCTCGCCCTTAGGGGTCACCACAAGCCCAGTGCTCTCAAGGCTGGGCTGTGATCTCCTGCCCTAAACCCAGCCTCTGACCAACGCTACTGGGAGTCTAGGATGTGTGGGGCTCTGACTGCAGCCAATGGGCAAAAAGATGCTATGCTCAGCGCCCCTCACCCTGGACCTGCCCAACTCAGCCACTTCTCAAGGCCAACAAGAAGGAAGTCCCACCATCCCCACAAAGGCCCAGAAGCCAAGGGGGTGTTCAGACCCCACCACCCTGACCAGCGCAAGCTCTCTGCCTTCACAGCACCCCTCCCATCCTGGCTCATGTTCAGATGACAATGCTGGGGCGTTCCCATCAGAATACACCAACAGAGGGAGCACCCAGTCTGTGCAGTCTTGGCTCCTGGCTCACCTTTTGGCAGGCAGTCTCTAAAGGGGCACTGCTACCATCCCATCTTACAGACGGGGAAGCTGAGGCACAGAGAAGTTCCAACACTGGCCCAAAGTTACACAGTAAACAGGCAGGGGGACACTAGGCTTGGCCAAAGGAGACATTCTTCGGCCAGCACACGGGTGCTGGTCAGCCTCTCCCCAGCCCCAGGGGGATGGGCCCCTGAACCTGACCATCACGCAGATGGGGAGACTGAGGCACAGAGGGCTGAGATAGCTCGCCAAGGCTCTGCCTGAGCTGGGAGGATGGACATGGAGCTGAACAGCAGGAAGAACAAGATGGGCTCTTCAGCGCCGGCCCTGAGCAATAATTTGGATTTACCTGACTAGTCCTCCAGCCACCCTGTGAGAGAGGGAACCC